GGTATTTAACCATGCCTCTTTAAGACCCTCCCACTGTTAATACAGTTTGGCCAGACCAACCATTTGATTCGGCATGCTCTGTATTGAGGTGAAAATGTGGTTGGATCTTGCACCTATTCTTTGAGAAAAAAAACCTGACCACTGGTATGCAGGTGCACACTGGCCACCAATATACAGGGTCACACTGACCACCAGTATACAGGGCCACTGGCTACTAGTATACAGAGGACATACCAAATCAACTAAAACAACTACCGCGCAACCAAGAAAAATCTTGAGTGCAATAGCCACATAAGCTTTTTAGTTAATTGCTGCTAGCATTGATGTGCTCTCACATCTTCCCTCCTAGCAGTGACAAGGCAGCTCATCCTCCCTCCTTCCCTCTACTCCTTCCCAGCATTGACTCAACAGCTCTGCCCCCTTCCCTTCCCAGTAGTGATGTAGTAGCTCAGCCCCCACTCTCAGCAGTGATTCAGCTGCTTTGCACTCCCTTCCAGCAGATAAGCTCCATCTGTCCCTCACCCACTCGCCTTAGGGCGAGCCACCAGCATAGCATCCACGTTGCCTCTGTAACTTCCAACTTAATCCCATGATTGGGAATTTCCCATGCACTAGGCTGCAAGCTGGAAGTGGACACCTGTTCCGTTTTGTAGAGGAGTTCCTTAGTTTAATATGACCAAAATATAACTTTATGTACTAATGCATACTATTTCCACTATTTGTCAGGAATGGACTCGCCAATGGTGGTGGGACTCACCTGTCGTGTGGGCTGCAGTACCAGGGCTGACCAGCGGGTGCTCTCAGCAGCCAGAAGCTCACTCCTGCAATCAGCCAACACCTGGGGCTGATTGCAGAAGGTGTATTTAAGGAATGACCAGGCCTGTGGTTAGGGCCTTGGTGTATGTTTCCCATGAGCCCCTGTGTCCTGTGTCCTGTGTCCTGTGTTCCTGTGCCTCTGCCTGTCTGATTTGTTGCTGACCCTGCCTGATCCTGACCTCTGCTGACCGTCTCCTGTTTAACCCGGCTTGTGACCCTGACCATTCTCTGCCTGATCCTCTGTACCGCGCTGCCCGTGAGTTACTGAACCCAGCTTGTGACCCTGACCATTCTCTGCTTTCTCCTTCGGTACCTCGCTGCCCGCACGTTGCTGACCTGGCCCGTCTGACCACGCTAACTACTCTGCCATCCATCCTGCACGGATCCAGCCGTCCCTGCTCATACCTTCTGCCTCTTCACATCAGGCTTTCTACCTGCACATACCTCTGGCGGATCCCTCTACCATGAGCAGGTATACTCAGGGGCCGCAACCTAGTTACTGTCTGCTCCAAGTCCATCCCCACCATCAGGGGCCCTGGTGAATAAGCAGACTGGGACTTAGACTCCGCGCCCTGGGGAATCCTGCCCTGAGGACCGCTAGAGGTACCACCAGGCGGTCGTTACAGAACCCTACGGCCAGCCTGACCGTTCCACCTCTCCAGCCCTGACTACGCCTGTGTTCCTGCACCTACTAAGATTAGTGGAAGGTTGGTTTGTTCTCTGTGCGTTTATATATATATCTGGGTGGCTAATAATAAACTGTATTATTATACTATACCTGAAGCCTGCGTTTCCCTGTGTCAGTCCACACCTTTCTGGTCATTCCTAGATTCCTGACACTATTTTCCCAAGCCAGCAGGTACAGCTGAATGTTTTTTTATTTCTAGTCTTCCAGTTTCTCCTGTTAAAAGACATCAATAGCTCAAGCTTACACACACATATAAAATGAATATGTCAGAGCCGAGATTCCTTCCCCAACTGTATGGATTTGTCCAGGGTTTCACTGAGAACCAGCCACCCTGACAGAAGGTGATTAGTCATTTGCTGTCATGTTAGTAACCCATAATGCTTTGGGAATTCTTTGTTATGAAGAAACACAACTCCATCCAAATGTCTTTGTGTGTTTTGGATAGTTTTAGGAATTATTAGAATCTTTCAGACTGTTTTGTAGCCTTGGAGAAGTTTTTTTCCCTTGTTCATGGTGGTCACTGAGGCAGAATGTGTGCAAAATAGAGCAGAGACAGTCAAGAAACTGAAAGGCGGGGAAAGACAGAACCTCTGTCCAGTGGCTTTTTTTTTTGCTTTGTGTCTCAGCTTGGTGCAGTGTTTCTCAACTCCAGTCCTCATGGACCCCCAACAGGTCATGTTTTCAGGATTTCCATTATTTTGCACAGGTGATTTGATCAGTTTCACTGCCTTAGTAATTACCACAGCTGTTTCATCTGAGGGAAATCCTGAAAACATGACCTGTTGGGGGTCCATGAGGACTGGAGTTGAGAAACACTGGCTTGGTGGGAGGGGGAGCCAAAATGTATCTTTGGTCATCGGGAAGTGAGATTGAATCTCTCTAATGGTGTCACAGACACCAATGAAAACTGAAAAGGCTGTAACTTTTGAAAATCTTGCCCAATCAGTCTTGTTTTCCTAGGTGCTGCCACTGCCTATAGGTGGCGCTCCATTCCTCCCCCTCCATTGATATAAAACAGTAATACCCATTATTTATTTATTTCAGGTACTTGTATAGCGATGTCAATTTGCGCAGCACTTTACATATATCCTTGTACATTCACATCAGTCCCTAACCCTCAAAGGGTGTATAATCTAAGGTCCCTAACTCACATTCATACATACACATACTAGGGACAATTTAGACAGGATCCAATTAACCTACCAGCATGTCTTTAGAGTGTGGGAGGAAACTGGAGTACCCAGAGGAAATCCACGCAGGCACAGGGAGAACATGCAAACTCCAGGCAGGAGGTGCCACGGTTGGTATTTGAAGCAATGACCCCAGTACTGCCAGGCGGAAGTGCTAACCATTTAGCCACTGTGCTACCCGCATTAAACTAGCATTCTTTTTTTTAAGAGCCTAGAAGATATCAGGATGGCCGGGTGTCAGTAACTATTGACCATGGTTCAAATGCTTTTAGAGAACTCTTAATGCACAATAAGGGATTCAATAAAAACAAAAGCAATTTGCTGGGGTTAAAGCAGACTTGGCATTGCAGCATTTTTTTTTTTTTCATTTTAAGTGCATGAATGCTAAGTAATGCATCAGTGTAATACTTCCAGATATTTATTACCCTCACAGAGATCACAGTACACTCCCTGATGCCTTTATCTCCCACATGGAAAAGAAATATATTTCCAATCTATTTTAAAAAAATGTATATATGTGACCTGTATTTACAATATATTGGCCTACCCGAATATATTTTAACATGTATTCCAAAAAAAATGTAAATTGAAATATATTTTCTAAAGCCATATATATAAAAAATATATTTTTTTAAAGTATATTCTTCAAATTTTTATTAACAGATAAAAAAAGTAATTGTAACATAAATTTTTACATATATTTGTAAACACATTCCAAAAATGTAGATTAAATGTATTTTCAAAAACATATATTTGAAATTGTATTTTTAAAAATATTTTTCATGTTTGTTTATTTTTATTTATTTCGGGTACTTATATAGCGCTGTCAATGTACGCAGCGCTTTACATATATATTGTACATTCACATCAGTCCCTAACCCTCAAGGAGTGTACAATCTAAGGTCTATAACCCTCAAGGGGCGTACAATCTAAGGTCCCTGACCCTCAAGGGGCGTACAATCTAAGGTCCCTAACCCTCAAGGAGTGTACAATCTAAGGTCCCTAACCCTCAAGGGGCGTACAATCTAAGGTCCCTAACTCACATTCATACATACACATACTAGGGACAATTTAGACAGGAGCCAATTCACCTCCCACATGTCTTTGGAGTCATATATTTTTTAATATATAAAAACCACATTTCAACAACATACAGTATATATATATATATATTTTTTCTTTTAAATAAATATATTGAATTACATGGCAGGTCATTTGTAAACTCGGGCATTGCCAGTAGGGGGCCCCATGAGATGCCCCTGGTACCTTTTTCATAGGCTTTTTTGAGTTTGGGCAAGGACACGGGGCCCTATGAGTTGTCAATCTGCCCCTGTTACATAGTTAGTCTTGCTGAAAAAAGACAAAAGTCCATCCAGTTCAACCAGAAAAAAAAAAAAGTTATAATCCTACACCCACAGTTGATCCAGAGGAAGGCAAAAAACCCAGCAAAGCATGAACCAATTTGCTCCTGCAGGGAAAAAAATTCCTTCCTGATCCCACGAGAGGCAATTGGATATTCCCTGGATCAACTTTACCTATAAATGTTATATCCAGTTATATTCTGTGTATCCAAGAAACAATCCAGGACTTTCCTACAGCAATCCACTGAGCTGGCCACAACCAACTCTTGAGGGAGTCTATTCCACATTCTCACAGCTCTCACTGTGAAGAAACCTTTCCGTGTTTGGAGATTACATTTCTTTTTCTCCAGACGTAAAGAGTGAATACGGCCAAAATTTTTGTATTTTAAATATGTTTTAACATTTTTGGGAAGAATATTTTTAAAACATATTTTTCTTCCACATGGGCTGCTTTTTTTCTCCCGGAGGATGACACCATCTTTGTTCAGGCCTCATCCACGGTCACCATCTACTTCCTGGACTGAGATGCCAGCTCAGAGAAGAGACAATCCTGTAAATCGTGGAGCCAGTGCAATTCTTGGCTGTGTTTACAAATGTCTGACACAGATCAGCCCCTCACCTTGTGACTTGCTACAAGTTTACATTGTACAGTCTGAATGATCACTGGTGGGGAGGACACTGATAAAAAATGCATCCTCTTGCCTACAGCAGACTGATGGATGCATTTCAGCCTAGGCAAAGTCACTAGAGCCTACAGTGTGGAATTTTATTGATAAAAGGTGGGGCTTTTCTAATTTCGTTGCTGTAGTGACGTCAGAAATTTTTCCATGTAAACTTGTAAAGCTACTTAAACATCAGCTTTTACATCATAAACGCACAACACCCTATAATAAAAATAACTTTGTCATGTTTTCATGTTTTGCTTCTCCTTTGCCTCCAGGCGAGATGCCCCGGCACTTCCCACGCCTTAATATTTCGGAGGTGGATGAGCAGGTCCGGCTCCTGGCAGAGAAGGTCTTCGCCAAAGTTCTGCGGGAAGAGGACAGCAAGGATGCCTTCTCCCTGTTCACCGTTCCGGAGGATTGTCCCATCGGACAGAAAGAGGCCAAAGAGAGGGAACTGGAGAAAGAGATCGCCGAGCAAAAGTCTGCCGAAACCGTGAAAAGGTGGGAACTTATGTGATGTTCACTGCATCCTTTACTGGGGTGCATTGAGACCAGGGACAGACTGACCATTTAGCCACTCAGGAGCTGCCCGAGGGCCCTGTGTTGATAGGGGGCCCCATGAGATGCCCCTGGTACCTTTCATAGACTTTTTTGGGTGTGGTTTGAGTGTGGGCAAGGACACAGGGGCCCCATGATCCCCTATTGCCCGGGGGCCCCGTGAGCTTTCAGTCCACCCCTGGCAAAAACGCAATACATGCTTTTCTGCTGCGTTTCCTGACATAACACCGAAGCAAGGTGTAACAGCAGGATGAGTAACTAAATATCCTCCCAGCAGCCAGCACCAGGTGGAGCTGATTACTAGGATCTGCTGGCTGCTGGGAGACACCTGCTGGTGGACACTGAAACTACAGCCTTTGACTCTGGGAAGCACAGTGCCACCAGCAGGTGAACTAGGTCCTGACCAGGGGCAGACTGACCATTCAAGCACTCAGGCACTGCCCGAGAGCCGGGGGTCAGTAGGGGGCCCCATGAAATGCCCCTGGTACCTTTTATAGGTTTTTATGGGTGTGGTGATGTCCCCAGGTGTCCCAATCACAGTGCTCCCTTCCATCAGGTGTCCCCATCAGAGTGCCCCCTTACATCAGGTGTTCCCATCAGAGTTTCATCAGGTGTCCCCATCAGTGTGCCTCCTTACATCAAGTGCCACCGTTAGGGTGCCCCCTTTTTTGTCAGGTGTGCCCACCAGAGTGCCATCAGTGTGCCCCTTTTTTTTTTACCAGTGTCCCCATCAGAGTGCCCATTACATCGGGTGTCCCCATCAGTGTGCCATCAGGTGTCCTCATTAGGGTGCCCCCTTACAACAGGTGTCCCCATCAGGGTGCCATTGGGTCTTCCCATCAGGGTGCCCCCTTAATCAGGTATCCCCATCACTGTGCCCTCTTTTTTTAACTGATGTCCCCATGAAAGTCCCCAGGTGTCCCCAACACACTGCTCCCTTACATCAGGTGTCCCCACCAGAGTGCCATCAGGTGTCTCCATCAGTTTGCCCCCTTACATCAGGTGCCACCTTTAGGGTGCCCCCTATTTGTATCAGGGTTCACCATCATAGTGCCATCAGTGTGCCCCCCTTTTTTTACCAGTGTCCCCATCAGAGTGCCCCCTTACATCAGGTGTCCCCATCAGCGTTTCATCAGGTATCCTCATTAGGGTGCCCCCTTACATCAGGTGTCCCCATCAGGGTTCCCCCTTACATCAGGTGTCCCCATCAGGGTTCCCCCTTACATCAGGTGTCCCCATCAGAGTTTCATTAGGTGTCCTCATTAGGGTGCCCCCTTACATCAGATGTCCCCATCAGAGTTTTATCAGGTGTCCTCATTAGGGTGCCCCCTTACATCAGGTGTCCCCATCAAGGTTCCCCCTTACATCAAGTGTCCCCATCAGGGTTCCCCCCTTACATCAGGCGTCCCCATCAGGTTTCCCCCTTACATCAGGCGCCCCCTTTTTTTTATCAGGTGTCCCTACCAGAGTTCCATCAGGTGTCCCCATCAGGGTGCTCATTTTGTTCAGGTGTCCTCATCGGTGTGCTCCCCAGTGTGCAAGTCTAGAGGGTCAAAGTTCCACTTTTGTCCTCTTGATGTCTACTGGATATAGGCAGCCATATAACAAAGTATCATCATTGACTGGTCCCTGAATAATGTCATTTATTTGATACATAACTGTCCCGATCAATATATTCCTGCACAATGTCACGGAGATAAAGATAGCCGTGAAATCTCTTTAATGAGATTATGGAAGGACAGAACCACCCCGGCTCAGGGTTCCCGGATCCCTCGGTGAGGTGCAAGAGATGTTAGGTCTCTAAACGCTGTGTCATCTGTCCTGGAGGAGGAAGGAGCTTTGCTGGGAAAGGTACCCACTCATTTCATTACCTGCCATGGCTGCATCCCCCATATACACTTGTCAGATAATACTGAGCAGTTTAATACTCAGGACCACTTTTGTTTGGCTCTGAAGTTCAATATTGAAACCATGCAGAAATTGCTTTTTTCTTTCTCTCCCAACAGAACAGAATATTCTCGGGGGGGGGGGGGGGGGGGGGGGGGGGGGGGGGGGGGGGGGGGGGGGGGGGGGGGGGGGGGGGGGGGGGGGGGGGTTGTGCAGTAGACTTGCCCAAGGGTGACAACGCTGCCCCACTATTGATACAGTACAGTAAGTGTTGTCACCCTAGGATAGGAAGTGTGTTATCTGCAAGATCACCAGGTGACAGAAAAAAAGAGGCTGAAAATGGAAACTAATGCAGCCACCACCTCTAAAGCTGGATATATGCCATTCAATTAGACTGTTCAATTTTCATACAATCTTCTTCAGATCTATGCAAATGAATTCATATTATTATACAGGATTTACATACATTATCGGGGTGGCACAGTGGCTTAGTGGTTAGCATGTCTGCCATGCAGTAAATGGGTTCAATTCCCAACCATGTCACCTCCTGCATGGAGTTTGCATGTTCTCCCTGTGCTTGCATGGGTTTCCTCCGGGTACTCTGGTTTTCTCCCACACTCCAAAGACATGCTGCTAGGTTAATTGGCTTCTGTCTAAATTGTCCTAGTTTCATCCCTGGCCATGCGGGATCTTGCATGGTGGGGGTTGGGGAAAGACCTGGCAACCTACCCTGTAAAAATTGCTAAGAGAATTCATGGAAAAAGTGACGGTCCATGCAATCGCCAAGGGTCGGATACGACTGAATGGATAGATAGATAGAGACATATATCATTATACAGGATTTATACAATGCCAACAGTTTGCACAGCACTTTACAGGATGAAAGGGAGACAGTTTAGTTAGAATAGAACTCAACACAGGAGGAGTCCCATGTTCCTGCTCATTACAGCTTACAATGGTTAGCACATCCGCCTGGCAGTACTCGGGTCGTTGGTTCGAATCCCAACCACAGCACCACCTGCCTGGAGTTTGCATGTTCTCCCTGTGTCTTCGTGGGTTTCCTCCAGTACTCCGGTTTCCTCCCACACTCCAAAAACATGCTGGTAGGCTCATTGGCTCCTGTCTACATTGTCCCTAGTATGTGTATGTATGAATGTGAGTTAGGGACCTTACATTGTATGCTCCTCGGGGGTTAGGGACTGATGTGAATGTACAATATATATGTAAAGTGCTGTGTAAATTGATGGCGCAATATAAGTACCTGAAATAAATAAATAAAATCTAAAAATATAATATAATGACAAACTTCAACAATGGCAAATCCAACGCAACAAACACCTTTCTCCTGCGCTAGGAAAGGACTCAGTAGACCCAATAGGAATGTTCTGGAATATGCACTGCTTGCTGCCCTCAACAGACCAGGGTGGTCCGAATACACTGGATACAAATGGAGAAACAGAAAAAGGGCGCACCGACCTAGTGCATTATCGTTTAAAATATTTATTGAAGAAACAAAGTAAGTATCATACAATAGACATAAAAAACAGGCATGTCAAACTGAACAAGAGATGTATGATCCAAACAACATCTGAGTCCATACGATGGAGCCCTGGATGACCAAGTAGCTAACGCGTTTTGAGGACACAACCTCTTCCTCAGAGCCTGACATGACTGTGTTTTTATGTCTATTGTGAGTATGATACTTACTTTGTTTCTTCAATAAATATTTTAAACGATAATGCACTAGGTCAGTGCGCCCTTTTTCTGTTTCTCCATTTGCAAACTCGAACAATGCATCGAATTTGTATCGAATCAGACAGGCCATTGCACCCTAAAGTTGATAGTAGATCGAATGGAGATTGTCCAGACTGTATATTGCATGGCCGGTTAAGGCCACCACACACATTACAAGCCGATTGTACAATCACCTACAGGTCCATCAAAAACTCAGTAGTGCAAAGGCCTGCCTGATTGGATACAAATCAGTTGGTTAGATCATTGGTGCTCATGTTATAGAATTATGGAAAATCTAAAGTTGAATGTACAAAGATTGCATGGTTGGGTTTTAGCATGCGTGGTGACCCTTAGAAGTGGTGGTGTAAGGAGATAAAAAAAAAAAAAAGAAAAGATATTATTATACAGGATTTATATTTTATTTATTTCAGGTACTTATATAGCGTCATCAATTTACTCCGCGCTTTACATATATACTGTACATTCACATCAGTCCCTAACCCTCAAGGGGCGTACAATCTAAGGTCCCTAACTCACATTCATACATACACATACTAGGGACAATTTAGACAAGAGCCAATTCACCTCCCAGCATTCTTTGGAGTGTCGAAGGAAACCGGAGTACCCGGAGGAAACCCACGCAGGCACAGGGAGAACATGCAAACTCCAGACAGGCGGTGCCATGGTTGGAATTCGAACCAACAACCCGAGTACTGCCAGGCGGAAGTGTTCACCATTTAGCCACTGTGCTGCCATATAGCGCCAACCAGTTTGCGGGAGACAATACAGCAACAGTACAGTTCAATACAAGAGGGATAGGAGGGCCCTGATCCTGGGAGCTTACAATCTAGGAGATATATCTCCTTACAGGTAGGCTGCAATATATTTTCATTCTGGGGTTTAGGTACCCCTTAAAGCTGAACTCCGGGCTCAAACACTTTCATTTAAATATATTCCTCGGTTGCCACAGAGGATTAAAATCTATATTGTGTGCACCAAATGCCTTTGCAAAGCCAGTTATTAACCTTGTAAAAGTAGCAGTGACATCATCATTGTGCTGTACATAGCCTGTGCAGAGAGCAGAGCTGTGGGGTGGACCCAACAGGCCCCACCCAATGCAGAAAATGACAGGAGGGGGCGGAGACAAGACCAGTCACCCTGCCCAAGGAGAGAGAGCAGCCGTGAGCGGTCTATTACAGGAAGGAAAAGTCTCACCCTGCATTCCTGAACAGATCTGGAAGAAATACACAAAGTACACCGAGATTCAAGAAGAAAATGCATAAAGGATGTATTTAGATAATATTTACTTGTGGTTTCTCCCA